CGGGGATCCCTGAGCGCTTCTCTGGCTCCAAGTCTGGCAACACGGCCACCCTGACCATCTCTGGGCTGCAGGCCGAGGACGAGGCTGATTATTACTGTTGCTCATATAGGAGTGGTGGCACTCTCCACAGTGGTGCAAGTTCATGGGGAAGTGAGACCAAAACCCACCCCGGGCTCCCAGGCGCCCTCCTTGCTCTGAAGATGTTCCCCTCCCTGGGCAGGTCAATAGGCGGCCTGGCCTGGAGGATTCCTCCTCTACCCCTTTCTTCCCGCCTCTCCCAGAGGCTGGAGAGCCAGTGTGTTTTTTCAGTTCTTCTCCCCTCTCCCATGAAATCCACAGGAGCCCAGCTCTCGGGTTTACTGCCTTTGCTGTGTTTTGTGCATCCAGAGGCCCCTCATTCCAAAGCGCTCATTGTAACAGCCACAGGGAGGCTGTGCTAGGCATGCTGGGTAGATGTCCCACAATCCTCTGGGAAATCCTCACTTCAAATCCCTGGGCCTCCCACACCTGCACAGACCAACCTGCATCCAGTTCTCCACTAATGAAGTGGGAAAGATAATAAAGAAAATGTTTTAATTTCCCGCCTCCCTCCCTCCCTCTCCCTCCTTCCTTCCTTCCTGGACATTGTCGTATTCATTTCCGTGTCCCCCATGCTCTCGGTCAGGATGGCCCTCCTGGGTGGGCTGTTCCTCTCCACGCCTGTTGCTGAAAGAAGAGCAACTGGGAAACGGTGACGGTGCTGCTGAGGGACTGAGGACAAAGCATTAGATGGTCTTTTCCTTTCCGGCTTCCTCATGTACACACCGTAGGCACATAAGCTGAGCAGGGAAGGTTTTGACAGGGGAGAAATAGCATGTAGGGGACCATCTGGAATTGTAAGAAATATGAATCCTGCTCTGTTAACCAACAAGTAAAATACATCTAATTTGGAAGAAGTGAAGTCTCCACTATCATTATTTCCGTTTAAGTTATTGGTTGAAATGAGTCACTCCCCGTGCAATCAGCATGGGTCTGGGATTAAATATTAGTGTCTTTAATTTATATGCTGGGCTTCAGTGGTCATTAGTCATAGTTGCAAGTGGTCACTTTGCCTCCTGTGCTGGCTGTCATGCTTAGCATTTCTATGACACGTGTTCTCAACCTTTCATCTCCTGTAATCCTTGTCCTTCTACCCAATAAGCAGTGGGCTTATGGGGGGCAGAGCAGATTACTGTGGGTGACCCGCTGCTCTCCCAGGCTGCCCACAGGATGGGAATAAACGCTCACATGATTCCACCCTGTTCTGCCGAATTGGCTCAAGTAGTGACTGGCAGCGCGGACCCATGCCTTGTCCGGTTACATTTTGGGTTGCAGCTCTGTTTTATGTAGACTTTCCACTCCCTTAGATGAGTGAACTCCTCATCTGGAGGCAGTTCTGCCCGATGCCGGTTGCCCCCTCCGCCTGGGCTCTTCCCAAAATGGCTGCTTGTCTCCCACAAGGAAAGAGCTGCCTGGTCAGTGTGTCCCCCTCTTTACAAGAATCCTCATCGTATCTGTTCTCTCTGACAGGCCAGTGCACTGTCCCC